CCTCCTCAGATTACCCCGCTTGGCTTGAACCGCAGTTCACCTACAATCAGACCACTTCCTGCACGTTCTCCTCCCAAGTGTGTTCAGATGGAGCGCCATGTGATCCGGCCACCTCCAATCTGCCCTCCACCTGATAGGCTACCACTAGCTGATGGACGCAATCACATCGCTCCCAGAGAAGCATGGTTGACTATTTTCAGTCACCTGAGCCATCGTGAACTCTGTGTGTGCATGCGAGTGTGCCGAACATGGAATCGCTGGTAAGAAAAACCTAAAGACTTATCTGTGAGGCTGTCCCAGATGCCACCCTCAATCCTTGTGGTCCATCTCAATTAGTTTACACCAGGGGTGCAGAACTTAGTTCCTGGAGTTTCTACACAGCTCTGCAGAGTTTAGCTTCAACCCTAATTATACACACTTGATGCAGCTAATCAGGTCCTTCAGGCCTATTTGAAAACTACTTGGTATTTGTTGGAGCAGGGTTGGAACGAAACTCTGCAGGGTTGCGGCCCTCCAGAAATTGAGTTCTGCACCCCTGGTTTACACTGGCTACGTTTACATGCAACCAAATAATCCATTTGTAATCAGATTGACGGCTCAATCGGACTGAAAAGTAATGTAAACATCTTAATCGATCCGATTGAGCTCGATCGGAATGAAATTTCGATCGGATTGAAGGGGGTGGTTTATTCCTTTTCTAATACGATTGAGCGTGCATGTAAACACTCGATCGGATTGAACCCCGAAACTGAAAGGACTGCGCATGTGCAGAGATGCAAAAATAGTGTAATGACGCTTGACGCGCGGAGCGAACGACTCTTCCTTTCGAATAAAGTGTTGTATAAATGCGTGCCCTGTCATTATAAAACTCTCCTTTCACTCGGAAACTGTGAAGTGAAGCAGGACAACCTCCCACCAGTCCTGGTTTTGGATTCTCATCCACAGGCAACCCGTATTGGGCGTGGGGAGGGGCATTTTTTACTGCGTGATAAATATGAGCAGCACGGCACAGCGGTTTATATGTATATTTATCCATAAATTAATAAATATTATCATGCAAACATGTACAATTCATGTAAACACTACATTCAGATTCATCAATCGGAATGAATTCAGTCCGATTGAACCAAAAATTGTACATGTAAACATAGCCACTTTGTTTCTGGAGTACCCCCAACACTGCACATTTTGCATGTCTCCTTAATCAAACACACCTGATTCAGGTCATCAGCTCATTTGTAGAAACTTCCAAGACCTGAAATGAACATGTGAGAAAAAGGAGACATTCAAAATGTGTAGTGTTGGGGGTACTCCAGGAACAGGGTTCAAAACCATTGGAGTAGTACAATGTTTCCCAACCCTGTTCCTGGGTTATAGGAACTTAATTTACCCCCAACACTTCACATTTTCAAACTCTTCCTAACCAAACACAGCTGATTCAACTTATCTCATTAATAGAGACTCCTGGACCTAAAGTGGATGGGTCAAATAAGGAACACATCCAAAATGTGAACAGGATTTGGAAATACTGGGGTTGTAGACTAGTGATGCAAAGTCCGATTCATTTACGCGAACCGGTACTTTTCAGACAGATCGGCTCATTGAACCGGTTCAAAAAGCCGATTCATCGGTTCCTGACGTCATCAAGCAATAACGTCTCTACGCATTTCTTTTCTAACAACTCAGTGCCATGTTGTATCAATGAAAAATTCAAATAAGTAATTTGTGTCAACGCATATTGAAACATTAAAAATTAAAGTTATTTGTGTGAAAGTATATTGCTTCGGTCCTGGAGGGCCACTGTCCTGCAGAGTTTAGCTCCAACTCTTATTTAAACACACCTGCCTGTAGCTTTCTAGTGATCTTAAAGCATTGGTTAGATTGTTTAGGTGTGTTTGATTAGGGTTGGAGCTAAAATCTGCAGGACAGTGGCCCTCCAGGACCGAAGTTGCCCAGACCTGTTGTAGACTATTGCGAAATCGTATTTCAACCATTAAATGGCAAATCAGATACCCTACCACAGGGGTGACCCATCCTTCTATTCAAGGGCCATGTTCCTGCAGAGTTCACCTTCAACCTAATTAAACACACCTCAACCAGCTAATCAAGGTTTTGAGGACAACTAAAACTTCCAGGCAGTTATGTTGGAGCAGACTAGAGCTAAACTCTGTAGGTATTTGTGCCTCCAGCAGCAGGATTGGACATTCTTGCCCTACAGTCTTGTGGACTTTACAGACATGCACAAAGGCCAAGAGACTTGAACTGCCATTTTGGGACGGGGCCTATATGTGATTATTAGAATGACATTTTGTTGTTGGTTTAGGTGCTGTGACAAGAGATTATGGACTCATATCGATTTGAAGCGTTGTAAATCCATCACCCCACTGATGCTAAGTGGGATAATTCGCAGACAGCCCATCACTTTGGATCTGAGCTGGACCAACATCTCCAAAAAGCAATTAAGCTGGCTTATTAACCGATTACCAGGTCAGTGTTCATGTGAGCATGTATGTGGATCCACATCATCTTAATTTACAGTATGTACTTGTTTCTAATCACACATCTAACCTGTGTGTTTGGTTGCAGGACTAAGGGTGCTTCTCCTATCAGGCTGTTCATGGGTGGCCGTTTCAGCTCTCTGCACATCCAGCTGTCCTCTGCTGCGTACTCTAGACCTGCAATGGGTGGAGGGGCTCAAAGACCCCCAGATGAGGGACCTACTATCTCCTCCGACTGACAACAGGCCAGGTAATATACAGTACTCTAGATTGATTTGCACACCAAAGATCCAGCTCACTGAACTCCGAAATGAATTCCTACAAGACAGTTACTTATTCAGATGGTGTATTCTCTACTTGGGCTTTCTCTAACAGGTCAGATGGACACACGCAGCAAACTTCGGAATGTTACTGACCTGCGTCTGGCTGGTTTGGACATCACAGACAGCTCTCTGCGTCTCATCATTAAAAATATGCCTGTACTCTCCCGTCTGGACTTGAGTTACTGCAACCATATCAATGACCAGTCAGTAAACCTGCTGACTGCTGCAGGGACCACCACTAGAGACTCCTTAACTGATGTCAACCTTTCTGGTAATTGCACTGTTTAATGCCATTTGTAATATTACAACAAATGCTTTTAAACCATTCAGATTCCTCCTGAGTTAATACCCTTTTTCAACCAACACAGTGCTGGTACCAAAGCTAAACCAGTGCCCAATCTTGCCTGTTGTTTCCACCAAAGGAAATTGACTCCTTACTGGCCCATAAACCTTCTGGTCTCAAATCATAACCATTAGGGGCTTGTGGGCAGGAAAATGTCATCACCACTTAAAATTTCCAAAACAACTCAGTTTGGTGAGACTGACACAAAAAATGCTCTCGTTTTAATCAGAGAAGCTGTCAATACAGGAAGCATTCAGTGTGGGCAGGTTACATCACTTGGTTCTTGAGTCAGTGGAATTATGGTCTGGTTCAGAGAGAGACCTACAGATCCCCAGGCATTTCAGTGAAAAAGGCATATCAGTAATTCTTGATTCGATCTATGAAAAAAAATGACTCTCATGTTAAGGCCGGGACACACCAAGCCGATGGTCGGCCAACATCGGGCCGACGGCGAGCGACGGTCGGGCTAGTTTGTTTGGTGTGTTCCACTCATCAGCTCTCGTCGGCGGCAGTTTGCCCGATTCTACATGTTGAATCGGCGTCGGGGCTGTCGGCGAGATTTGTGATTGGATGTTCAGTTTAGCGAACGAGTCAGTGCCCGAGAATTAAAGCGAAAGTGATGAAAACAAGCACGTAAATGAAGGCGGTACAGACAGAAGGCTGTTTAAATGTTACGTGATCTTTCCCAATCATTCTAATACGCGAATGTTTTCATAACAAGTGCCGCTTAAAATTATTAAAGTTATCAAAGTTACTGATATTCAAAATGGGTAGGCAAGCGCTGCTTTGTTTACGTTTCGTATATCTGCGTTTGTCTTGTATATCTTTTTTCTCCATTTGAATGATGAATATATACTATTGATAGCTGCTGATATAGACAGTTAATTCCTCTCACGCATGCGCAGAAAGCACGTGTTAGTTTGCTGTCGGCTGTAGTCTGTGCGGTGTGTTTGAGCGCAGCTTTTTGGTCCGACGCGAGGCAACAACACCGTCGGCTTTCGTCGCTGCTAGTTCTTTGAAGTCGGCTTGGTGAGTCCCGGCCTTTAGACCATGTTAGACTACAGGAATTGCTGTGGTTTACTTAGGACTACTAAGTAGTTTAAATAACTTTCCTTTTTGAAGGGTTCACTGAGTCTAATGCTTAAAACCGTTAATTCCCCCTCACTGATTACTGATCTCTCCTTTCTTGATGTTCTCTTTAGTGTGTAACAGGGTCACTGATCAGTCGCTGAGCTACTTCAAACGCTGCGGAAGCATCTGCCGCATTGACCTGCGATTTTGCAAGCAGGTGAGCCGACAGGCATGTGAGCGTTTCATTGCTGAGATGTCGGTCATCGTTCCCTTCCAACTGCAAGAGGATAAACTTCTCCAAAAACTTCACAGCACCCCCTAGTGTCTGGGAGGAACTGAATGCCAATCTAAAATGATACCATGTATCAGATGCACTCGTGTTTGGATTGAAACTGGATTCACACATTTGAAAAAAAGCACTGCAACACATATGTGGACAAAGTGTTTGTCAGCTCCTTTCAAACTGGAAAAAAAAGAGCAGACATATTGTACTTAAAGGCACATAATTCTGCTCCTATTCGAAATGGTGTATTCTGAAGGTGGATTTCTTCCAGCAAATTCTGTTAATCTTTGAGGAGATTATACATGTTATTAGCAAGAGATTGTATTTAATAGGTGGTGTGGTAAAAAGCAGTGGACATATATATATATATATATATATATATATATATATACACACACCATCTACATACTCACTGAATACTACAAACACTTATTCCATGAGTAAGCATGATTGTACATTGTTATTCAAAACCCTCCAAAATGTTTTTGTATAAAAGATGTATCAATTCAGATTTGTGCTGTATTTGGTTCAGTACTGGGTATATGTATTGTTCTCTATTTTTTTTCTTTTTAATATAATGGAATTTTTAAATATATCTGTCCATTTTATGTCATCAGTTTTGGAATATTCCAATCTGATCAGCATTTTTCAGTCACGAGTTTTGACTGCTTTGAATTTCAAGTACTTGCTGTTCGAATCTCAGAGCAGATATAGAAGTGAAATTTGTTATTTTGAGGTCTATTTATAAAACAGTGCCATATTCCATCTGTGTTGTTTTACACCGCTGTAACAGGCAAAACTTCAGCTATCAGTATGACTCTGTAGAGCATGGTTCTACACGTGTTAGACCAAACAAATTGCTGAATACGTATTCCAGCTAGCTCAGTAATTTTGTTTTGTTCAACACAATCAGGTAGTTCTGCATTTTTTTTCCACGAGGTCAAAAAAGACTTCACTGAACATCAATGCAGTATTTGTCTGTGAAAGTCGTCATGTGATTTTATTCCTTCCACAGTGATTATTATTGTAAAATGGTAACTGTGATGATGACAGATGATTTTAATAGTGTGTATTATTGTGAGTTTGTCTCAGGATGGTGACTATCAGAAAGAGGCAGCGTGCCATCTGATCTTAGCCACCATACTTATACCACTATAAATTAAGGCATTGTTCGCCATCTAAAACACTCTTAATGTACATTCGGCTATTTATATTTGTATGTAATTTAAAAAATGATTTTACTGTGAGACATTTGAAAAGTGAAGTTATTTTCCCAAAAAACGTACATCATTATATGCATACATGTACCTGTATTAGATTAAATATAAAATTTTAAAATGCTGCTTAAAGCAGGGAACATTTTCAATGTTAAGAGCCATTGGTAATCCATATTACTTTCATAATCTTACATATAAGTGCAAAAGTAGAAATGTTCAAAAAGAAAACTGGTTTCATACTGACTTAATGAAACAGTACAACAATTTGACATTTAAGAATCACAATCCAGTACAAATCTTTCTTAGCACTTTTAAGTATCACAAGGGTAACTAAGAACATACATACTGCTTTGTCTTGTTTGTTAATTCTATATTAAAGTAACAGAGCAACTGACCAAACGAAGCAAATATCAAGTTATTTTTTGTTAAGAAAAATAAACTTATCTGAATAGGCATATACATAGGAATAAACGATATGTCAGGTTAAACAAGGATTTAATTAATCTGAATATATAGTTTAGCATTACATGAATCCCTTATAATCTAAAATGCCACACAAAAAGAGAGGCTGGTATTGCTGTGGTGTCTGAATGAAGCATTCATTTGTGCAGCTGATGCTTGTCAGCGCTATGCAATGTGCCATGATGCAACGTTTAATAAGGTTTATCACACAAGTGAGTAAGTGGCTACAAAATATGGGTAGATCATTTGTATGGGCATCTCTCAAGTGGAGTCCTTATTTTCATTTCATTTTTTTTAAGTTTTCCGACTTAAACACATCAACTCAAGTACTAACAATAACTGAAAAGCAACTGTAGTAGTGTACTGAAGACAGAGAAAGGCATATTTTGGCACCTTAATCATCCCTCTTGTTTTACACTGTGCATTTTGATTAAGTTATTGTTACTTTGCACATACATAAAATGCACATTTTTGAATTATATTGACTCACAGTTACACTGTGCCCATTTATGGTCCTACTTTGCATACAAAACAGTTCTATCCCTTCTCATTTATCACCACTTACACTGATTTAACAACAGGTTTCTAGGCTGGTTTTCCAGTCACATACTCAAAAGTCGCATGACCCAAAAGAACAGTGGTGACTGAGAAACTAGCAAATGTTCTTAAGACATTTTACAAAGAAAGGAAGTCATATGATAAAAAATTAAAAAAACAGGACTGCTGAATCCAGAGAATGACCACAAAACATGTTCATTATGCCACTTATGAAATCACTGACTGAATGGTACCAGTGTCAAGTTATAAGGAGGTACAATGTAACATGTAGAAACTCCAAAACTTTGTTCAAAAATCTTAGAGGCTACACAATCCAAACGGGAAACAAAAGCCCATACACAGATGTTGCAACAAAAATGGAAATAAAAGAACAACAGGAAAATTCAGATCCTTCCATCCTGAGTTATGGCGCATGATGATGAACACACATGAGTAATTCTCAATATTTTGAGTTTCTCACAGTGCTCGCATGTGACAGGTGAGCAGAATGTCTTCAAAGCTGTAGGACATCAAATCAAGGCTGTGAGGTGTTGCTGCTGAACAATTGCATATTATTACAGAGCCTCTTTGAAGAGCTTGCGGAATGTTTTTATTGAAGCATTTATGGACAAAGCCATTGCGGACCACTGTCTGAAGGCTTCCTGAAACTTCATGAAAAATTAAGCAGAGAATTTTATCTTCCGCACTGATCCAATGTAAAGACAGGGCACTTGCTGTGCACATCCTCACCGAGTCTCTAATGCAAAACGGTCCGCAGGTGGAGCGGGATGTTCTCCCAGCAGTATTAAGACTTGAAAACATGCACAGCCCTGATAACGTATTGTCTGCAGATAGGGCATTCGCTCATGCGCTTCCCGCACTTAGTGCAGGTGACCATGTGACCGCACTCCAGCAGCACACAGTCTATTATTGCGTCCATACAGATGCGACACAGGTTGTCGTCATTTGATAACTGGGTTTTGCAACCATCTGCAGTGAGAAAAAAAAAGATGTTTCAATACAGGTGCCAATCTCTCTGTAAGGACAGGATCTTGAATAAAGCCCAAAGTATACTTTGGTTTTTACACATAGGTTTTGCGCTTTGATTTTTCTTTTTTGCACTAAATATTTTTTGTTTTTACAATCGGAAAAGAAACAGAGGACACAGAACAAGAAGAACAACAAACTACGAATGCTTGTGTTAGCGGATTTTTAAAAAAATAGTTTTAACGTGTATAAAGACATATTTATCACTTTTAGAGAGAAAAAGCACTGACACTGGACAAGGGTGAATCTTTGTAGCGCACATGTCAAGCGTTTGCGTTCACGCGCGCTGTCAAATGGAGTACTATGAAAGGCTGAGCATTTGACTGTGTGCCTAAAAAAAAAACGAAGTATACTTTGGACTTTAATCAATGGGTTCATTTCCTGTATGATGAACCAAACACAACCAAAGATGGCCACCATTTAAAATGAAAACCTCCAACTAGTGATGCACCCAAATTATGGCAACAAAAATATTCGGCTGAAATGGCAAAAAGAAAAACAAATTTTTGTCAGTAGTAGTTTTGGTGGACAGAAAGCATTATTTGAAACAGTTAGCGTTCCTCCGATGAAGTGTTTTGACTGTTAGCTATTTCATACACAAAATGTGTATAAGAAAAAATGTCAGCAAAGTGGGCACACTTTACCGTGACCAAAAATGATGCTTGAGCATGTATGTAAAATTCATTACAGTGAAATAAGCATAACCTGTGAACATGACATTCTGAATAGCATACAGAGTTCACTGACTAAATTGCCTAAATTTAATTAACAAAATTTTATTTTCAGTATCAGAGTTTCGGTTAAAAAAAAAAATCATTTTGGTGCATCACTACATCCCAACTCTTGCATTATGCAGTTTATTTGAACCCTAGTTATATAATACTTAATGAAGGGCACAGATGGAATGGTATAATGGGGGTAAAACATCACAGAAGATAAATTTTTATGACCCTACCAGTAAAATGCATTATTAATCATTTATTGCAGTATAAACAATGGTACTACTTTTGTTTCTTTCCTTTATTCTTTGAGAGTACATGCTATCCGGCAGTGGCCATGCAGGGAAGGGGTTTGAAGTGCAATGACATCACAAACTTCAGTGGGTGTGACCAGGAAACATTTCCACCAATCGCAAGCCTTACCTCCGATTCCGCCATTGCAGATTGGAGGGGGATAAGCTACCACTTAAGTGGGAGGAGCAAAGCACAGCTATTAGACTCGGCTATGAGTTCAATAATTAAACAATCTATTTAATTTACTGTGGAAACCTAAGCTGATCATTAATCAAATCAACTCCTAGACCTAAAAAGGGCAATTTTCACTCTTTGTATGAACTTAAAGTCAGACTGTGAGGTAATTTCCTACCTGCAGTGATGGGGTTGCTCACATTTTCCACTGACAGACAAAAAATAAATAAATACATTATAATTTTAGGAACAATATATTTTTTTCAAGAATATTTTTAAAGAATTTGTAAATTATTTTTTCAATTTACATACAGTTGGCAGTTATGTCAAAAAGTGAATCTTAAACTGTGTTGCTGTATATATGGACACTGTATATATGGTTAGTGCAGCTCTGCATTTAGAACTCACTAGATTTGCGATTGTCCTCGTTCTCTCGGTAAAGCCTCCTGACGCGCTCCACCAGCTCCCACTTCTCACAGCAGCCGGAGAAGCTCACAAAGTTCCTCGCCAGGATCTCCTTTAGCTGCCGCACGGTCAGCTGCTCCACGTCATCAAGAGAGGACAGGTCTGACAGAGAAGCTCTAGCTCGCCGCTGCGTCTGAGGACTAACCTGATGGTAAAACCACATTATAGTCATACTGTCAGTGCAATTTAAGAAATTATTATATTCAATAATTACCGGAAATGACCATGTCATTCCTTTCAGTTTTCACTACGTGACTTAACTCACCTCAGGCGTGTGTTCTGTCTGGTCAAGGTTAAGGAGTGAGACTGAAGTGGAGTCCTCAATATCCTATCAGCAAGGAATGTTTACACAGAAAAAGTATAATTAGCCATCCATGCTAAGCCCCTTACAGCTTTAGCAAGGATTCCTGCCACAAGTAAACAAGTAAGTATCTTTCAAGTTTGGCATCATTTCAGTTTTTTTGTTAATAGAGGTATAAATGGATTGAAGTGCTCTTCCAAAGCCAAAAGTGTGCAAACCAGTTCTGCCACACGCCTTTTGAGAACTAACTGATGTTACACTTCTGCTCCCTGGATCAGCTGAGGAACAGACCATGTTTGACATGAAATACTACTGTATTATACTGCTCTTGTAGTAAGTATTATGTTTCAAACAGCACTATGCTATTATGGTCAAATGGTTTTGTCATATTGCATGTTTAATTTAGTGCTGTACAGTTATCATCTTAGGGGAAAAAAACATTATTTCGCACTTTTAATTCAATTGTGTAATGTTTTAGTTATTACATTAATAAAATGTAATACAAATTAAGTAATTTAGGGAAAAACAAACATATTACTTTCAGTTCATTTGACAAACATAGGAGGCTTGAGTCAAGTGCATATTAAAAAAAAAAATTGTATTCTGGAATGTATGTAAATGTGTTGTTCCAAACTAGGGCTGGGTGATATGTGAAAAAAAATTATTTGACCAATAATCACCTACAGAATATCCAATATCTGATTATGTTGTCTACCCGCCCTGCTCACACTGTGACTGTGTTTCTGTTATCAAATCTGTTTGAAATGAATTTAATTTTGTGAGGAGAAGAAAATCTAATTTTAGATTCACGATGAAAGTGGACATTTTTATCGTGATTCTAAAAATTATAAACAGTGCACAGAATTTAATAATTTTTTTCATAAGGTCCAATGTTTCTCTCTGATTTTCTTTTGCAATTATCACCAAGTTAGTCATATTTCATTTTGCCTTTCAGTTTAATTTCCTTAATTATAACAATTCACTGTTTTTTTAAACCTGCAGTCAAGCTATAATGTATATGAAATATTTAATTTAATGGAGCTGCCAACACTGGAAACTCTTACAGTGCTTAATTCAACAAATATTCAGAAACAGGTGCAGTTATACATTTTATTTTTTCTATTACTATATAACTTTTGCTATACAAGTACTCTTTTTACTGTAAGACTGCATATCGAAATACTTGAAGATTTTAAAATAAGACAAATCACTACCTATTCCAAATGTATACAGGACACACCTGATTGGTGGACTCTGAGCTGTTGCTCCTACTGATTGGTTCTCCTTGAGTTGGAGAGAGTGCTGAGAGAGGGGAAGTGGGCTCTTCAGTTGAAGGCGGTGGGCGTGACTGCAGAGAGGGTGTGTCTGGATCATCCTCACTTTCTGCCCCTTGATGGCAAAGCACCAAGTCCACAAGGTCCTCCTTCTCCCTAAGAAAGCATTCAAACAACTCAAAAACACTAACAATATTGTCATAATATACCCTATTATTAATAATGCTCAGTTTCTCATGTCTGTGCAAAAGTACCTGCAGGTATCAGTGTTAATGTTGCGTAACGTGAGGTACTGCCGCAAGTCTTTAACACGCAGACGCATGAGCTGTGGACGCTGGAATGCAGTGCCCTTCAGCAGATGACAAGTCGTACATCTGCGCAGGTTTTCCTGAAGTACTGAGCACAGCGAACAAAAAGTCTTCTTACAGTCACAACAGATGTGCTACAGTGGAGAAAAAGAGAGTCTGTGCTGAATCAAAAGCACAAAATGCAAGTGTAAAGTAATTGTCATTTTAACTGTAGTGTTTCTGTGTTATTCAATATTACATTTAAAGTAAATATTTAAAATGTAGTAAAATGCAGCTTCATTATTACAAATGTGTAATTACAAATACATTTAAATACATGACAGACAATTGAAATTACATCAAATTTTAGTTGACCATAAATGCTCGATATAGTCAGCAGTACATTTAAACCATATTTAAAAGATGTACTTAAGTCCTACTTATGGGAAAGCAATCAAAAAAAAGTTTTTATCTAGAATACATTTTCATTTAATTGCAAAAATAAAAAGATTTGTGCATTTTAGTCCATGTCAGTTAGATTTGAGGTCATTTAATATGTGTTACCATATTCCTAAAATTGGCCAAACAAACTTTTAGTAGATTTTAAAAATGTAGTCTTTCTCTTCTTTGGAAAATAGGCCAAAAATATTGAGGACTCATCTTGCATGCAGGATAGTATAAAAATGTTTGTCAGATCAAATGATATACTGTACAGAATGAATACCACCCACTAACCATTTTAGTCAGGCTATGACTCCAATTTTGTTTAAAACCAGTACAAGCCTGTCAACATGGGCCCAACTTCCTGATTCAGTACGACATATGTCAACATGACAAAGATAATTGTGTTTGTCAAAGTGTTTCATGCCATCTTTAAACTAAGAAATGTTTTTAGGTTTAATATGCATAACAATGAGATGGAATGGCAGTGGCAGGTGTGCAGGTCTACCTACCCTCCTCCTAAAGACAGAGAAGGCTTGTCCACAGGCCTGACACACCAGACTGGTGCTGGTGGAGTTGGTGGGAGGGTATGTGGAGTATCCTGCAGTGGGAGCGAAACGAAACGGCCCCGCACCTGCCCCAAAACCTGGCTGCTGCCCTCTCACGGCTCCGGTCCCCATCACCTCATTCAGCAGACCACAGCACGATGCCCACATGGACGAGGCCCCCGCCTGCACAGAAAACAAGAGACTTTAAAAACATACAAAGACAATGATCTTCAAAAGTCTTTTTCAAACCTCTGAGCTTGTATTAAGAGTAGGAGTATAACAATACACCCAAGTCATGATTCAATACACAATACTGACCTCACGATACAATACTCTCATGACATTTTAAACAAAGCCAAAACAGAGTTAAAATTATACTTTTTCAGAAATGATTACTTAACCAGTAAACAAAAGGTACTGTATGTTAACCAGAATAGAAATATCCATGATTCTGCACAGCTAAAATGCAGAATTGTGTTAGACACGTTGTCCCTGACTACATACATTGAAAATCTTTATTTTTTTGTCATTTATTTATGCATTTTATTTGTAATTTATTAATAATAATTAAAGTCACTGTGAAATCAAAATTGACTATAGATGATTGCAGTGTTTATTATCCTAAATTATATTATATATATATTCTTAAATTCATGTGCCCTCAGAATCTTTACTCAAAATAATTTCTCATAAATAGGAGAAAGAAAAGGTGATTAGAACTTCCGTTTCATACCAAATTTAATAAACAAGGGAACTCAAATGTGTGAGCTTCTAGGTTTATCATATTTAATGCACTCTTTGTATGTGCATTGATCTTTATTTACATATGAATAAAGGCCTAAATTAAATCGGTCTAAACTAAATTGGCCTATAAATTCACCTCTAATTAAGACTCCAACATGTAAAAATTGCAATTGTGAGTGTATGTGCAAGATAACAATAGTAAATCTGAGCTGCTGTGCCTTATTATCCCACATTTTCTGGGTCATTCAGAATGTCATGCCCAGAAATAGTTCCCATTGACTGGGATCAATCCCATTAGAGACGGATGGGAATAGGGCTAAGCCATAACAAGAGATTAGTGTGCTTTAAATGACTTATGAGCCAGAGCTCTTAGTGACACTCAACAGAGAGTAACCATGGTGTTTTTATTTTCATAGGGAGCCAACATGATAATCAACTCCCAATTGTCATTGTGTGGCACAGTGAAGGATCGGTTCTGTTGCTGGGTCTCACCTCCCAACAAATGAAAACATGAGAGCAGAAGAGTTAAAAACAAACAGCCACATTAATGATCATTGCATTTAACACTTGAATACTGATATTCAACACATAAATGATATTAACTGCTAGATGCTGATTGATACACATTTATTTAAGACATGTCATCAATGCACAAAATCACACAACGCAAATATGCATGAAATGCTAAACTGGAAATCAGTAGTTACTTATCGAGCTGATAGCAAATGCAGCAGATTATTAATGCTAGCATGATACACAGCCAAAAAAGAAACATGTTCAAAACTAAACGAGTATGAGGAGAAATTACTGTACCTTCATAGCAACTCCAGGACACCGCGGGGAGTCACCCAGCTGTATGTAAAGGCGGCCTTGCCGTTGCTCGTGAACGGCTAACTCTTCATTTTCAGTCGCTGTCCACAGCCGCACCAGGATCCCTATGCAACTGTAACGAAGCGTTTTCAGCCAATCACAGCGGTGGAAACCCTGTGACGCACTCCCAAACAGCCAATCATCTCTTTCCTCCGATAGTGCAGCGGAAGTTCGTGCATTGGGATGAGAGTAGTTTATGCTATATTTATTACATTTCATGGAATAGAGTTGCTTTGTTTTTATGTGGTTTAATAATTTTAGCATGATTGTTTGATCCCAGGTGAAGTTAGTTTGCCTCTTAGAACCATTTCCCCCCCGATATTATTATCCTAAAAGTTATTAACCTAAAAAATTAGCATTACAAGCATAAGAAGTTGTGATAAAATATAATTAGTGTTACATATGAATTTAGTTGTAGTAATGTTTATTATTAATAGATAAACCGATACTGGATAATTACTGTTGCTGTTCTAACAGATGACAAGCAAACATTGATCAGTAGTTTTAGATCAACTTAAGTCAAAATAAAAGGTTTTGTGTTGATCAGAATCAGAATTGTTTAGTTATATAAATGTGTTGCCAAACTGTAAGCTGAAGTTCTTTTGAACCTCTTTTAGTGCTTGTGAACAGATCAAAAAATTCTCAAGATATATTAATATTATCAAGTTCCTTCAGGTTAAGTGTGAATCCAGCTAGCAACACTGCTCTTCTCTCTTACCTGTACATAGACCTACCATGTGAAAATCTTATTTTCAGAGAACTGTCTGTAACACCATGTCATGCAACATAAATATTCGGAACATTGGCGACCTCTACCGTATGTAAAATCTAAATAACTTTCTTCATTACTTACACACCCCTGATTCAACCATTAAACAAGATTAGCATATTTGTCTCAGAAATATTGATATAATTATCTGAGTTATAACTTAAGTATGTAAAATTATAATAAGCTATATGTCGACAAATAAATAAAAACGTTGTTGTCAGAGCTTGTTCTCTAGGCGCCCACGGGAATCGATGTATCGGCGCTCTGCATCGCGTACTAAAACGTAACAGCAGTGTTGCCAAGTCCGTGGTTTTCCCGCGGAATTGGGCTACTTAACACTGTTGCCGCGGGTTGTTTTTCATGTTCGCGGATTGAATCAACCCCAATAACGTGATATTTAGCCCATGGAATGCGAATTTTACCGGAGGAACCCCGCCAAAAATTTTTTATTTTACCCCCAGGAACGCGATTTTTACCGGGGAACCCCCCTCGAAATGCGATTGGGCTAGTTTTGGGCTAGTTTTGAGTAGCAATTAGGCGGGTTTTGTTG